TCTGCTTAACTAGATTGGGTTGTCCAATTGATTAGAACCCCAAATGAAGCTCATGTAAAATTATTGATGTTTAATAAACATTAAGGAAAGCAATGTAATTTAAATAGAATTGATCATATTATCATAAATGTATAGATGTAAAAATCTGGTTTAAAAACAAACTCAGTTACCTATCTGTATACTTCATATTTGAAGAAGGAAAAGGTCTAAAACAATATATCGACTACAGTAATTTGGGGGGAGGGGGGAAATAGTATGGTAGATTGTTTATATCCTCAGCAAATAAATAAAATTGAATTCAAGATGTTATTTTCTCTACTATCAATCCCTTATAAAATATATTACTAAAAATAAGTATTTTCTACCAGAACATGCACTTATTATTGATTTGTAATAAATGTTGTTCTTTTTAGATTATGAATGTAACCATTGAGAATGCTAATGTAGTCTTACAGATTGACAATGCCAGGCTTGCTGCTGATGATTTCCGAATGAAGTAAGTTTAAATGCATTTTTCCATTTTGAAACTCCTGAAAAATGCAGTACTTTGTACCTTCTCACATCTTCCAGAAATACTAGGGTTATTAAGAGCATAAAGACCAGGGTAACATTTAAAACTCCTTCCACCACTTTAATATTCTCTTGCACTAGGAGTTAGATCTACGTTTACGTTATAATTAGAAAATATCCACTGAAATTAATTAGACTTTGTTTAGCAGAACTTTTTTTCCAAATCAGTTGAAGTATGGTGTCATATTTCTATGACTTCAATTGGTAGCCATTAAGTTCTGCAAAATTGGCAATCTACAGTTATGTACAAATATAAGAAGGCACATAAAACTATAGTATCATATCTAATATTCAGCTCTCTACCCTCATTATATTAATTATTGTGCTAATATATTGTGTTAGCATAATAGTTATTTTTTTTTTAAAAAAAAGATTCACTATAAAGATTCATGGTTGCATATACACTATAAATGAGATGATTTTCAAGTCTTACTTTTCAATTCCGTATCAACACCTTTACTATTTATCAGCTATAATAACTTGAACAGATTCTAGCAAGTCATACAATCCAATAAGAACACTGTCCTTTCCTGATTATTGTTCAACCATGGAACTTTTGAAGATAACTTTTTTTCATGTTTGTAAACAGCTATTCAATTTCTAAGCTACTAAGCAATGGGACAGAATTAATGGAATCAATATGTAGCAATGTAATGTCTCTATTCAGTCAGGCATATCTTCTTCAATATGCTGCATTTTATTCTCCATCATTTTTTTTCATTTCACTTTCATGTATCAACAATATATTCTTGTGCATCATCCATGTTGGGTAGCTTGTGGGAGAAGATTTCTATTTCTTTATACTTCTTCAAATATTTATCTTCTCAGGAACCTGATGATACTTTTTGTGTGCACACATATGTATAAACTTATATTTTGATCAAAGAATAACACCATTAGGATATGCATTTTCTGTTTAAAGCATTCATTACGTCTAAAACTGAAGTTCTCCTGATATTTGGGAAGCAGGGAGATATTACTCAAAACTGAGTTTGGGTTCTACAATAAGTTAATGTATAGATAAAGAAAAAGTTTCCCTTTCTTCATCATTTTGTTTTCAGCAGTTTCCAGTTAATAAGAGTGATATTTTAGGGTCACCAGAAGCTGAACTCGGAAGCAGCAAGATGAACATTTTCCTTCTGTGAACTTCCTTAAATTAACTTACATTCTAAGTTAATACTTTTAATTTACCAAGTGCTTTCTAGCTCTGATTTTGTCTATTGCTAAATATAGCTATTGCTCAATTAACAAATTCATGTATTTCCCCCAGATTTGAAAATGAGCTCTTCCTTCGCCAGAGTGTTGAAGGAGACATCAATGGTCTGCGTAGAGTACTTGATGATCTTACCATGAATCGCTCTGACCTAGAAGCACAACTTGAAAGTCTAACAGAAGAGCTGGCATACCTTAAGAAGAATCATGAGGAGGTAAAGGACTTATTTGGTTTACATCCCAATCCACAGAACTGACTGCATGGATTCAAATGCAACCAAAAGGGAATCTGAATTTTTTTGAGTTTCTTTATCAATATTCCAAACCAACCTTTTTAAATTTATAGTTGTAAGATTCCAGATATGAAACTAATCCTCAAACTCTTTGCCAGTACTGACTGGTTGGGAATTCTAGAAGTTTTAATCTAGGACATCCAGGGAATCCTAAATTGCAGATAATACAGATAAGTTACAATTTAGTATGATATCTGAGTTAAGACACCAGAAGTCTGCAGAATACAGAATAGGAGTCTAGTGCTGCCCATAGAATGTTCATTTGGGATAGGAAAAGACTCCAGTTTGAATTTTCACTTATCCATGACACTTATTTGGTAAGCATAGTAGGTAACTTTCAGTCAATCACCCTCACACTGATCTCTCTAACTATTCAGCTTGAGTGATTCATCTAAACCCTCAACAAAATAAGAATATTTAAAGAGAATACTAGTCTTACATAACTTTTTTATCATTATTTAACAATTAGAATGGTTTATTTAAACCATTACATTTAGTAGCATTGATGAAAAGAGAATAGTTCTTTCATTTTCTTTCAAATGTTGATCACATTTATTAAAACATTATGAAAAAGTCCACCTGAACAGAAAAAAAAATCCATATCTAAGAGGGCAGCTGAATTTTCAGAACATAATATATCAAAATCAAGGAGGTTAGTTGTGTCATAATGTAATTAGTAATGTGCTTTCATCTGCTGCCAATGTGATATAAAATTATTTCCCAAGACAGATTGGGGCTGGGCTTTGTAACTTGGATTGTAAATTCCTCCAAGTATCAATTAGTAGATCAGTATGTTATTCTTAGATAAAGCTGGAATATTTAGGTCATTCTCAGAAAACAAGCTTAGTCATCAAAATCTGGTAAATGTTGAGTTAAAAGCAGCCAGGTTGGTCCACATATATCTAACTTCAAAATTTAACTGAAGTTTTTGATTGGAAGGATAAAGGTATGTGTTATTACTGATGTTATATCTTTGCTCAATGGGCCCAGTCAAAGACACTTCTTTCTACCTTTTTATCAGTTTTTCTTCCAAGTATATTTGAGTATACTGTGCATGGTTCCTGAATTAATAATCCTTTCACATGCACTTCACTCAGAAAACAAATCTAAAACTTCCTTTCACTGGCCCTGATCCACTTATTTGTTACTGTGAACAAAATAATAACCTTTCAACCTAGGCAGCCGATTCCCTGAAACGTACATTAGGTGGATTACTTCATTCAAAGCAGGTTTGGCATGCAGAAACCCAAAGGGCAGAAATTAGTGTGAATTTCCATAATAGGCATAGGATGAGAAAAGTATGAAATGTCCCAAGGCTGAAATGATTATGAGTTGAGACATGTTACTAGGGGGGGCGGGAAAGTCAGATTGACTGCAGTTCAAAAAAAAAAAAAAAGCAACATTGGTACTGATTATTCAAAATGGGATTGAGAATGGGCAGTGCCAGTGCTGAAACAAAATAACAAGAAAAATTCCTATTGTAGAACACATGTAAACAGCATTGAGTGCATATTCCATTTTTGAAACACCTTACTTAGTACTCCCATGCCGGATAGATGCTCCAAAGCCAGGCAGGAAGATTGGATCCATTCCAAAGCCCCAAGGCAAGCCTTCATAAGACACACATCATTTTCCATGTTGTCCTGGGGATCCTTCCCACAAATATATTAAGAATTTCTTATCAGCAATCTGGAAATGCCACTCTTTCACTTAAGAGACACATGAAAAGGTTTGCTATAAAAGTCTATCAAAGTTCAATTGAGTTGGTTTGTTCTGTTAGTGCTTACACAGAAGGAACTTTGTTTGCCTGCTTTAGCCTACAATAGATATAAGTAAACAGGGGGATCAACAAGGATACTATTGGCTCTTACTATTCTCCATCTCTTGCAGGACTACTTTAAAATGGCTTCATTTCTATCTCTCAGGTAGATTTCAAAAAGCCACCATAACCACATTTCACTGGTTCTGAAGTGTACAAGTAACCTGCTTCCAATTTTCACATTCAGGAAATCACTCTACTGAGGAGTAGTTCTACAGGAGATGTCACAGTGGAAATGAATGCCGCTCCAGGAATAGACTTGACTAAGCTACTGAATGACATGAGAGCACAATACGAAGATCTTGCAGAACAAAACCGTAGAGAAGCAGAAGAACAATTCATCAAAATGGTAAGATTATATTTTTTCAAGTTCTCCAACTGCACTAAAATGTTAGTTTGATAACTCACAACAAAAATGAATGTATGTGTTGAAATAGTTTTTAACATAATGCTTTAAAAAAGAAAAAAGAAAATACTGTACTCACAAGAAAATCCCCCTAAAAACCAGAAAGTTCTGATCCCACTCTTGTGTGTTACAATCCACTTCTGCCTATTGTGCACCCAAATTGAATTCTCCCCAGAATTGCCTACGTTTGCTCTATATGTTGCTTTCAAGTTATATTTTTATTGATCTGTCCCTCCTTCTAGAGCCAGCCACTGCAGCAACAGATCCACGATGATGCCGGTGCTGCAAGCACAGCCAGGAATGAATTAATAGAACTCAAACGAAATTTTCAGTCCCTGGAAATTGAGCTACAATCGCTTTTGGCAAAGGTTTGTGTTTGCTTCCTTTCTCTCAAAAACAGCAGGAAATCAAAAGAAATGTCTTGTTCTCTGGTCTGAAAAATACTTACCCTTTGTTTTCATAAAACTCTGTTTACAAATTCCTAAATTGAAGAGTCACAGAAAATAAAGATCCACAGATGCACTGATGCAAATTCCAGATTCAGACCTCAGATCACAATTAGGATCCCCACGAATTATAACAGTCTGGATTTCATTGCTGGATTAGAAAGGGATAACATGAGACAAGCATGGAAACAATGACAATTAGCCTCTAGCAAAATTGTGGGTAGAAAAATAATACTGAGAAAATCATAACAAACCTTTAACCAGCTTATGTGTATTTCTCCAATTAACAGAAAGGATCTCTGGAAGGAACCTTAGTAGAAACTGAAGGGAATTACAGCACTCAGCTTAGTCAGTTACAAATGCAAGTCAGCAGTCTGGAAGAACAGCTTCAGCAGATCAGGGCTGAAACAGAGTGCCAAAATTCAGAGTATCAGCAATTGTTGGGCATCAAGACCCGACTGGAAATGGAAATAGAAACATACAGACGTCTGCTAGATGGAGAAAGGTGAGTAAACATTTTTCAAAACTGAATGAGGCAATAATTACGCAGTGAGTGGGTGGTAGATTCAGGCTTAGGATATTTATTTACACAAATATCTGCTACTGCAGATACTCATCTCTACTTGTTGATTTCTCATATTCTGTGTCACTGTAAGAAAGACTAGATTGAGCTACATACGCTTCATATTGGATCAGACCAAAAGACTGAGTTTTTAGACAGCTAGCTAGAAGTTGGACCTAAATCTTCCTTTGGATCCATTAGAGGAAAAGCATCTGTGTGTTCAACCTCTTACTAGTCTATTTGTTGATGGATTGATAAGAAATGTAGGGTAGAAGTGTGATTGACCTGATCAATCCTAGTGTGTAATAAAGAGCATCACCCTTCCAAATTCATTTTTTTTCTTTTTTAAATTTCTTTTTACCAATTGTAGAACTGTAGTTTTCAAAATCATAGAATATAGCATTTAAAACAAAATGCTTCTGTTTAAAAACATCAAATTATTAAGGATCTCTTAGAGAGGTGTTTTTATTTTCTTATTTATTGATTACTCCTGCTAGTTATTCTCTAATTTTATCAAATAACAAGTAAAACCACATTAGTGCTCTCTGAAACATGAAAAAAGTAAAAAAGAATTCTAATTTATATATACAATCCTCTCTGATATTGCTTAGAAATTAATAGAGTATCCATAAATGATTAAATTACTATAGTTCCTTTAAAAACAACCCATATGACTTAACATCATTAATGAATTAATTTAGTTGACTTCAAATATTTTATCGATAGGAATAATAAAGTTATAAGATGCATGACACAGAATGTATATTTCTCTCTTTAGTCAAATATTTATTGCTCTCAAGCTTTAAAAATTCAGATAATACTACAATATTATTAATACTGTGTTTCTTCTTAACAGTATCCGTACTGCTTACGAGACAAAAGTTCAAATCAGAGGTAATTATAATCCTATTCTTTCAGAAATAATACATTGCTATTTGTATTGACTTGGTATATCTAAAAATACATCACACAAAATTGAAAATATTTCCTCATGAACAATTTCATTTCATAAAACGAAATGCATGAGTTTAATTATCTTTAACTCCTCCAGTAACCTTTATTCCACCTGTTAACTCTGCACAGATCTGATGCCCTCCAGCTGTACTGGGATTATGTCTCTGAGAATATCCAGGGAAGACAGTCAAAAACTAGACTAGTTAGGAAGTTGAATGTTAACATTTCTGAAAGCTAGTAGACTAACAAAAGCTATTTCAAATCCTTGGCTCTTCCATTCATATCCAAATTATATGTTTTTCTGATACTTTTAAAATCTGCTAGACAGTATCATAATCTAATCTGCCATCAGGATTTTGAATTAGAAAAAATCAACCATTAATACCAAGGGCATAAGACAAAAATTGATGATACCAGTTTGAGGGGTGAGATGTCCTATTTCACAGCTGACTGAAATAATGTTGGTTTAATCTACAAATGTATTGATCTAAAACTTCCACCATTCCCAGCCAGCATAACTAATACCCATGCTGAATAAAAAGTATGAGTTGAAATATAAGGTTGAAGAATAGGCCCTTTTGTGAGGCTGGCACAATTGATTTTGGCTTCAGCTTGAAAATCACTGCAAAACTTAGAATATTACAAGAGGGAAAAGATTCCATGAACTAAATGACTGCTTGAGTATTAAAATAATGGTCACCCATACATATCTTTATCAGCAATAATTATGAACCCATTGACTAATTTTTATTAACTTTAGTATCATACTTTAAGGTGGCTAAGTTAAAAAGCCCAAAAAGTTGGACTGTATAGGAGAAAGGCTTTTTGAGGGAAGGGATTGCTTTCATTCATGCAGTTCTCCTGAAATTATAGGAAATGTTAATAAGAAAGAGAAAGAAAAAATGTAGAAAATAAATTTGGATACTAAGACGAAAGTGTAAGAAAAATTTGTTTTAATAGTTTCCAATCATCAGCAGCTAAAAAGCTTGCCACCCAAAACAGGTGCAAAAAAAGAAAATGTATTACCATGACCCATTTGATATTTGTATCTCAGGAGCCAATATGGCTGTAAATATATTGTCAGTTTATAAGGTACATTGATTACATAATACCGTAGTTGGAAACCAGTAGTATATCAGACTATATTTAATATCTAAGTGGGATGAGATGATAGAGTTTTGCAACATATAGTTTTTCACATTTTTCCAGGGATTTTTTGTTGTTAAAATGTAATCTCTGTGCCCAAATTGCTCTTCATCTCATTTCCAATAATCATCATTTTATGACAGGTTTTACTGAATAAAGTGCTGTTTTTAAAACTTTTACTATTAATCAATAAAACTATTATAATTTTCCTTTGACAGAACCTACCAAAACCAGGGTTGTTAAAACCATTGTTGAAGAACTGGTGGATGGCAAAGTCATATCTTCCCAAGTGAAATCGGTGGAAGAAAAGACAACTAAATAAACTGCAAGAAGGAAATATTTCAAAGCTTGCTTTTGAGGGAAAACTTGGGTAGAAGAAAGCCATCGGAATCAATTGTCAATTTGCAGCTTAGTAGCTTTTTGCTAATACGGGACTGGGATTCAAATTTAATCAAATTTACTTAGACAAGACTCAGTGAAACCAATGAATGATTAAGTATGGAAACAACCCAAGGAATCTAGAAAAAGAAATTCTACATGTTATGCTTTCTTCTAACTTTAAAATACTGATTTAAAAACCACATTCTGTTTTTCTGCTGCAATGCAATAAATCTTCTGTTTGCAAGTTATATCTGTTTGAGATTCTGGTTTTACATTTTCATTTTCATATTTAAAAGCAGATTTAAAACATACTGAAGTTGCAGAGTTCTGTAATTACATCAGCATCCTCATAGCTAAGTAATATAAATAAAAATTTAACTGGGTTCACATTAATAATTTAGTTATCTGACTGGAGATTTAGCTCACCTTATTCTTGGAAAAAAAAAAAGGTTGTGAATGTCACAGAAGAAAGCACTGTGAAAAGCAATCCAGATTACCTCTGCAAGAAAAATTAAATACAGTTATCAATAAAAGATTTACTGTCGGAGATAACCTGAAAAAAATCAGTATTTGAAAATGTAGGTGAATGTATTTGACCGCCAGGAGCAAATCAGACCATAGAAACAAAACAAAATGAAACAGAAGATGCAAAGAGTGGAGAATACTGAGTTTGCTGTTCCGAACACAGTAGGGAAGCAAGTTCTGAGCTAAAAGGAGCAAATTGGATATATTATTTTACTTGATTTAGAAATTATGCAGCCTAAAATGGCATTTGATTTTTTCTTTTCTTTTTGTGTAGCCACTCCACACTGCTGAGTTATATTCTCATTGCAATCAACCGCTGTTTAGATCTGTTTCACACATGTCATTATCAAAATAGGTATCCCCTATGACAGGGGTCTGCAACCTTAAACAAAGAGCCATTTGGACCCATTTCTCACAGAGAAAAAAACCACCAGGAGCCACAAAACCTGGATGGGCATGGCCAACTTGATGTTACTCACTCCCACCCAGTCACATGATCCCCTAGCCACACCTACCTAGTCCAAAACCCTTCTATATCTCTCCCCGCTCTGTATCTCTCTGCCCCTCTCCCTATCTCCCACACTCTCCCTCTTCTCTGTATCTCTCTCACCCCTCTGTATCTGTCTCCCCCTCTCTCTTCCCCCTCTATCTCTCCCCCTCTGTATCTCTCTCTATATTTCTCCCTATCTCCCTCTATCTTCCCCCCCTCTCTCTGTATCTTCCTCCCTCTGTACCTTTCTCTGTATCTCCTTCTCCCTATCTTTCCCCCTCTGTCTGTATCTCTCCCTTCTCTGTCTCTCTCCCCCCCTCCCATCCGTTTCTGTCTCTCTCTCCCCCCCTCTCTCTGTGTCTATGTCTCTCTCCTTCTCTCCCTCGCTCTATCTCCCGCTCTCTGTATCTGTGTGTGTGTGTGTGTCTGTCTCTCTATCTCTGTCTGTCTGTCTATGTCTCTATCTCTCCTCTGTGTGTGTGTGTGTGTGTGTGTGTGTGTGTGTGTGTGTGTGTCTATGTCTCTATGTCACTCTCTCTCTCTCTGAAAGCTGAGGCTGGGCCAAGCCAGCAAGTTCTCCTTGGAGCTCTTTACTATCCTTTTATTTCTTCTTTTTGGAAATCCAGGCTGGCTCCTCCTTATCCTTTCATGACCTCCGGCCAGCTGTGGCAGAGCTGGGAGGGTGCGCGTACACAGGGCAAGTGGCTGGGCTCGACCAAAGCAAAGGAGCACACAGGGTGGCAAGCAATAACTTAAAGAGGGTCTCCCCCTGCATGCACACCCTCCAGGTCCCACCACAGCCAGGAGGGTCAGCTAAAGGGAAGCCTCTGCTGTAGCTGATGCGCGTTCCTCAGCCAGCCCAGATTTTCAAAAAGAAGAAATAAAAGGAGTAGCAAAGAGCCCGAAGGAGAGCTTGCTGGCTTGGCCCAGCCTCGGCTGTCCAAGAGATATACAGTCAGAGAGAAAGAGAGAGAGACATAAAGAGGGAGAAACTGGCTGATGGGAGAGCATCTTTGGCGAGGGCACTTCAGCTTTCTAAGAGCCTGACCCCATGGGTGGGCATTAAGTTCAGCGGGCCTGTCCCCTTTTCCTGCTGCCCTAAGCTTCTTAAAGCTGTGGCTGGGCTTCAATCGTGCCCAGGTTGTGCCAGTGTCTTGGGGGTGAAGAGTAGGTTATGCATCTCCCCAAACAACCAAGGCATGCCCAGCACCAATAAGGGCTGGAAGACTCCAGCAAGAGTGAGGCACCGGAGAATCAAGCCCCATCATTGCCCTTACCTTCACAGGGCAAGTGAGGGAGGAGAGGGTGAGGGGTGGGGCCAGCCAGTGATGGGACAGGGAGCTACAGCAGAGGGCCTAAGACCCACATGCAGCTCTGGATCCGCGGGTTGCCACCCCCCCCCATGCTACACCTGTGCATTTGACTTGTAAGTGAAGAACTCCCCTGCACTTCCCTGTTAAATTTCATTCTTTAAACTTTCAGCCAATTTCTAATGCAGTCTTCTGCAGAACTTTAGAATTCTGCAAGAAGGTTTATAGGCATTGTGCAAGAGATTGTTGATGTTGATGATGTTGATGATTCAGTTGTGTCCAACTCGAGGCAACTCTATGGGCCAAATCTCTCCACATCTTCCAATCTTGCATAACTTCTTCTGCTCTGCTGGTGTCAACTTTGATGGTGTCCAGCCATCATGTTCTTTGACAGCCTAGTTTCCTTTTGCTGTTAACTCTTCAAAATATAATTGTTGCTCTAGTGAATTCCCCTGTATCACATGGCCAAAGTAAGTGAGCCACAGTTTCATGATTTTGCCTTCCAATAAACAAATATCATCATTTGAACTGGTGGTGGGAATTTTTAGACATCACAAGCCATCTTATTGATCACTCTAATCAGAGGTGGTATTCAGCAGATTCTGACCAGTTCTAGAGAACTGGTAGCAGAAATTTTGAGTAGTTTGAAGAATTTGCAAATACCACCTCTGACTGGAGATTTTACAGTATGCTTGCCCTGCCACGCCCACCAAGCCACGCCCATAGAACCAGTAGTAAAAAAAAATGACTCTAATGTATTGTGAGTGGTAGATTTATTTAATTATTTCTATTGCCTGAGATTATCTGAGACATAACAGTTATTTCAAGAGATCCTGCAGAGTAAAAAGATGAAAAATTCTATTGTAACCTATCAAGTTTATTCTGAATTGTATATATCTTCTAAGGCAGGGGTCCCCAACCACCGGTCCGTGGACCGGTACCGGTCCGCGGAACAAGCCTTACCGGGCCGCTGGTTGCTGGGCGCCGCCATGTTTTTTTGGTAAAAAAGCGCTTCCGGTGAGCTTTTCTGGGTAGAAAGCTCACCGGAAGCGCTTTTTCGTCAAAAAAGATGGCGGCGCCAGCGCTTCCGGTGAGCTTTTCCGGGTAGAAAGCCATTTCTACCCGAAAAAGCTCACCGGAAGCGCTGGCGCCATCTTTTTCGTCATAAAAAGATGGCGGCGCCCAGTTGACACCGGTACCGGGCCGCGGCGCCCAGCTGATGCCGGAACCGGGCCGCGGCGTCGAAAAGGTTGGGGATCCCTGTTCTAAGGTATAAGTTATCCCATCAAACAATGTATCATCTGCAAATTTGATGTGCATGCCTTTCACATCTTCATCCAAATAATTAATGAAAATATTGTAATAGACGATCCAAGACTGACTCCTGTAGCATCCTCTTTCTCTCCATTTTGGTAAAATACTTGGTGAATATTTTTTGTATATAATTTTTCAGCCATTTCACAAATAACAGTGAAGATTTATCAGAGATTCTACTGATAAAATTCTGAATGATTACACTGGATAAGCAAAGATGAGCTGAATTATATTTTCAGAATACAAACATACCCTGTTGGAGGATTATTTGGTGAAACTCTCAGCCTAATGTTTCATTCTGAAGATTCCAATTGCTAACTATTGAAGGACATTTTAATTTTTCACATTAAATACATTACAAGGTCTGTCTTTAAATTGCAAATTTTGATCCCTGGAAAATTACATTGACTATTAATTGAAATTGACATCTGACATATCAAATAAATTGGAGGGTTTTATGGTCTAATTGTAAAAATACCACATCTCTTTATATTATCCACCAGAAAAATGTGATGTGCAATAGCATGCTATCTGCAATTTGAATATTCTGATTATGCTAATTAGCAAAGAGGGAAATTCAGATTTGGAAATTACAAGGTGATCTTTTCTTTGGGAAACATGTGGAATGTGTTTTCCAAAGAAAAGTTCACCCCATAATTGGTAGGACATTCATTCTCCTCTGATTATATAGCTGTTTGAGCAACCAAATTCCCTTTCCATATTTGAGTAATTATTCCATTATTTGGAAATATAATCAAATTTATGTATGTATATTATTTCATTTATAATCTTCAGTGTCCTTTTTTCCTCCTTTTTTCTTTTAAACTTTAACAGACTTAAATGTAAGCAAACTAAGATAGACACAGGTGTAAGACTAGTAGTAATTAATATGAAGGTAATTTCTCCCTTTGCCTTCTTTTATTTTGTCTGTGTATGTGTAAATTAAATTTGGCTAGTTATTATTTTGCTATTTCAACTGTATTTAAAAAATTAAAGAGATTAAAAATGAAGTATCAAACTACAAACCCACAAATATCATTTCACAATTTATTTAAAATCTCCTTATTAGCAAATTATTTTATATCTTAAATTTAAAATAAGTTCTTTTTGTAGAAAGAGCCCAGGTTATGGAAATCAAATAGGGAAGACTATTAGAATAATTTTGTTAGTTTTTATAGTAACCAATCAATGTGACTATCTTATGGAAACTAGAGAGCTATAATATTACATTTCAGTGTTGCAAATTTGTAGAAAGTCTAAGCTTGTATACATTATTCTTTAGCACCCTTTCAACCAAAGAAAGGTTAACCATGTCAATTAGCTGTAGGAAAGCTCAGATGATTACACAATGATTCACAAAGTTGTAATCTTGTATAAACAAATATTATAATTTATATGATTCATAAGATTTACTTATTATTTCTTTTTACCTAGCACTTAAGCCAAAAGGTAGCTTATAATTACTTTTCCAAAAGAAAAATGAAAGGCAGTCCCAGCCCTCAGGCTTATGTTCTAAAATAATGGCACAAAAGAAATATGGAGGCACCATATTAAATGTTATTCAGTTTTTAGCAAGTTCTAGTTGTGTATTTCTAGTGTAGAAAATAATACAACAGCTAATAAAGGTGCTTATTTTTCATCCTCCCCCTTTGAAGCTATGTTTAAAAATATTTAAACAAAACTTCCTTTTAATCTTAAAGTTTAAATATGAACTTAAAAGTACGTAAGTGTTCATATTTCTCTGTCTTTTATCAAGTTTTCAATAATGGCTTGCCCCTTCCATGGACAGCCATTCTTCTGAATGACCAGCATGCTGCTGGATTCATATAATGTAGTTTGCTTTTTGATCAATCCTTTGAATTTAAAAAAAATCTTTCTAGGCTCCTCCTATTGTTTTTTTTTTTTTTTTTAGTGTGCTTAAAAAAACTCACTGCTAAACAAAACAATCACCTTTTCATTTTTTTTGAGTGAAGATTCAATGCCATGAACCAATTTCCCACTACTATACCAAAGGGTTTATATTTCATTTGAATTATTTTACCTGGTGAGTGAATTAAATCATTTGCCACACAGACTGACTGAATAACGGTGAAAAAGTTAAGAAGTATGTCACAGAATATTTATTGTCGTGTTAGGAAAAAAAACTTGTGGGGGGCATATATGTATGTCAGGAATAAGCAACTTATGTTTCATTGGTATTCCCACAATCTTTGCAAAAGGTACTTGGGACTAAAACCTATGACACTCATCTCTGGTATATATGATAATAATAGTAAATATCTGCTATTTGTCAAAAGAAGTATATGAGCATGACATGCAACAATTAAGTCCTACATTTTTAAAAATCATGCTGAAATGTCTCTCACTTTATGCTCTTAAAAATAAATAGTATGCATTTTTCCAGTCCTTGGTTTGTATACAAATGGACAGCTTTAGCCAGCTTTAGGGGAAAGTTTGAAAAGAGCCATGATAACTAGTTCTAATCAAGGAATGGGACGCTGCTGCTTTAAAAAATCTGAGTTTCGCCTTCTGCTCTCCCTCCTCTCTGCCCCCCCCCTTATTCTAATTGCAGGCTGGGAATGTTCTGCAGCAGTCTTCTCACCCTATCAATAAGGTTCAGTTAGCCAAGGTGGAGGATGGGAGTAGCATGGAACTGTCCCAGCTCCTCAATGAGATCAGGGCAAACTATGAAACGCTCTTCAGCCGAAGTCAGATAGAGACCATCCTCTCGGCAGGGACCCAGGTAATGTCCATATACAGACAAGCACCTACTTGAATAAGGAGACAATCCAGTTTGCTCTCAGTTCCTCTCTCAGCCTCTGTGAGGTACAGTATTTACATTTTCAATGCAGTGTTTTTTGGGGGGGAAGCAACCATCCATCCCTCTCCCTCTCTCTCCCTCCCTCCCTCTCTCATCCACAGCATGTCTAGATTCCAAGACTAGGGGGAAATATGTTGAGGTTTTTTAAAATAATGATAAAGTAAAGCTTTGCATCGCCTTGCATCGAGATACTTCTCAAAATGGAGTAACAAATGTTGTGCAGCTCCTCTGCTCCATTCGTCATTTAGATATAATTTTCTCTAGGGAGAAAACTATTTAAGACTTAAGATTTTTACCATTTAAGATTTAAAGAATTGGTTTTAAAGATAGGTCAAGAGGAGCCTGTGTTTTACAGCATCTCCAAAAGAGAAAGGTCAGGATCACACTGTTCTGCAATGCTTTGCTTGTCTGGCTTAAGTCTCATGATTGCTAAAGATTATCCAATCACAAGGACAGCATTAAAAATTCACCCAGAAAAAAACAAATCACAGTAATAAAATGCACCAGACTGCTGATCTGACTTCAGGAATAACATTGAACTGGATGCCGGCTGAGCATCCTATTGTGCGTTTGAGTTTGGTGTTTCTGAATGAGTAATGGTTTAGGGGTGTTTTTTTTTTTGTTTTTTGTATCTTTTAATGGCTGGCTTGCTTTATAGTTTATTTAGGTATCTGAGCAATCCAGTCCCAAAACCTTCAGAAAAGATACACTCATCTTTATCCTATGCTCCAGATAACTTGGCCTAGAGTAACTTGCCGCTTAGTAAGATTCTCAGCAGATTAGTATCAGGACTAGTTTATTTGGATGGAAAGTCTCCAGGAAATTCTAAAACAAGGCAATGGCAAAGTCTTTGCAAACTGTTACAAAATGATTTGTATCCATGTATTATTTGCTTCAAGCCACTATTACAGGTAGTCCTTGATTTTACAACCGTTTAGAGATCATTTCAAAGTTGAAATAGCATTGAAAAAAGTGATTTTTAATTGATCCTTGCACTTATGACCATTGCAGCATCCTCACAGTTACATGATCAAAATTCAGCCACTTGTCAACCAACATGTATTTACCAGTTGCAGTATCCCAGAATCATGTGATCACCTTTTGAAACTTTCCCAGCTGTCAATGGGGAAGCCAGATTCACTTAATGACTGCATGATTCATTTAACAATCATAGCAAAAAAACAAAAGCTCATAAAATTGGGCATGACTCACTTATCCAAAGCCTTGCTTAGCAACAGAAATTTTGATCCCAGTTGTGTTTGTAAATTCAGTGACTACCTATATTAGGCTTGTAATAGGACCGTTCCAGTACTTTGGATTCATTTTTTTAAAGTATTTGAAGGATAAGGGAGCACAAACATAACACTTGTCTGAAATATCTCAAAACAACTGCATCTTTCCTTGGGAATGTGACCTGGAAAATTTCCCAGGATCAAAATTCTCCCCATCAGGCAATTCCAGCAGTTTTAAAGTTGTATTTTGTTTTTCAGAAGATTGTTCTAAACAGTTGAAAGCAGAGTTCCACAGGTCTCCCTCGTTCATTCATTAACATAACTCCAATATCTGTATAGACTATATGGCTTTTGAAATAAAGATGCTAACTAATATTACACTTATTTCATCTTTGTATCCAGAAAACCTGCATCTCTGTGGCCAGTTATCCTCTACAGCTGCCATGATATTCCAGCTGCTTTATGTTGATGCAGATGAGAGATATCTGCACATTCCATATCACCTTTTAGAATCATATTCAAAATGTCCACTGGCTTCTTCAGACAGCCTGTATGTAATAACTGAAAATATGATTTAATGTTTTAAAACTAGTTTTACATACAGTATTCTTGTGAACAAAGAAATACAAAGACACAAAAGGGTCAGTGGCCTCTTGTTCAATAAAGATCCTGGGGATAGGAAAAATGGACGTTACCTATGTTCAGGGGTGGGATTCTTCCATTTCGGACCGGTTCAGGAGAACCCCTAGCTCCGATGATCAGCTGGCTCTGAACTGGTTTTCTCCAACGATCATGTGGGCCCACCCGCCCACCCCTGTGCTGTACTCACCTATATCTGCACAGTTGATTCGCACAGCAGAACGGATTGCTGCGCCTCAGCTGTGTTACTTCCCTGAAGTAACATTGAAGGGAAGTAGTTTTGAAAGCTGTGCACATATGCACAGCGCGCATCATGTGCATGCACACACACGATTAGCGAACCAGTTGTTACACCAGCAGCATCCCACCACTGCCTGTGTTGTTTGGTCAGGTTTTTCAACCAGTATTTTCAGATTTCCACCATTATTTATCAAGAGATAATAAAGCAATTATGATGCACCTTAATTCATCATAGATTCATTTTCAAAGTAAGATAATACCTTTAGCCTCTAACGTCTTTAGCAGCTTCCAATTAACATTCCTTAGAGAGGATTTTTCTCCTTTAGGGCCATATTCTATGCTCCCATATTATAATCCCATATATTAGTATGTGACAAAGTTTACAATGATAGTTCTAACATGAAACTATCCTATGGACTTTCCCTTGTGTATATCCCTCAATGTTTTTACAAACAGAAATGTAAAAGTTTTATTTTACTTGCATTAGAGTGATTAATATATTGCTCTTGACATTTAATTTTTTTATAGAGATGCTGAGTTTGTTGGTGCCTAACTTAAGCTATGACTGTGTGGATGCGAATTTCATATGTATGCCATTTACTGCTTTGAAAGGTTATTGTTAGTGAAATATTTTCATTATGGTTAGTGAAATGGTCCTTAATTCAGAGAGCATATTTTTAGCAATAATTTATTCAGTAAAATATTTTTTTCATTTAACTTCCTATGCACATGCTATCTCTTTTTTTAAAACTTTGTTTCAGAAGACCTGATAAGTATCTTCAACTTCTGAAAATGTATGTTTCACCTTGTGTTAATTCAATGATTAAAATTATATCTATCGATCATCTATCTAACCTATTTATGGTTTTGTGGATTTTCTTATTCACTGGACTCTCAGAATGTTATATTTAGGTCTAGCTAGTTCAGGGATCAGCAACATGCAGCTCTAGAACTGCGTGCAGCTCTTTGGGCCCTCACCTGCAACTCCCTGTCGGATGATCCCACCACTGACTGGCCCCTCCCCTCCTCCTCACTTCTTGCCTGCCCTGAGAAGGGAAGGGCAATGGCGGTGGATGGAGACTTGCTCCATAGACTCGCAAAGCACCCCTCTACTTGCCTCTTCTTCTGGCCCTTCTTGATGCTGTGTGCACCTCAGCCGCTGGGGGAGATGCACGACTTTCTCTCTGCCCCAAGACACTGGCCAGGCTGGCTGCAGCTGATGCTCCACATCGTAATGAGCTCAAGGAGGCGGGATTGCTGCCTCCCCCATTGTGAAGCATGCTAAGTTTAAGTGTGCTGCACAAGGCGCTGCAAAAGCAGCAAGCAGCCATGGAAGTAGCAAGAGCAGCAGCAGCAGCCAGTGTCTCAGGGCAGAGAGAAAGTTGCTCATCTCCCCATATTCCTTTCACCACTCCATGGCCTGCTCACTGCTCTTGCAGCACCTTGCAGCATCCCCTCCTCCTGGAGCCCATTACAATGCAGAGCACTGGCTGCAGCTGGCCCACCCAATGTCTCGGAGAAGAAAGAAAGTCATGCATCTCCCCAGTGCGCGCAGCACCAAGAAAGGTCAAAAGAAGAGGCAAATAGAGGTATGCTTCGCTCCCACTCTGGAATATGGAGCAAGTCTCCATCCGCCACCACTGCCGCCCTTCCCTTCTCAGGCAAGAAGTGAGGGGGAGGGGAGGGAGGGGCTAGCCAGTGGTGGAAGCATCTGACAGGAGCCACAGCAGGGGGACGAAAGAACTTCATTTATCTGGAAACCTAAAATGATTCTTGATTTAAATCATATGGTAAAAAGGCACTCAAAGAAGAAAGAACAACATCAGCAAAAAAAACCAACAACATCCCAACCCTCGCCTGTTTTTGGAAATGGCTCAAGTGGGAAAACACACACACATACACACACACATGAGAGAGAGAGAAAGAGAGAGAGATGAGAAACAGAGAGAGAGGGGGAAAGAAAGAGATGAGAAAGAGGGAAGAAAGAGAGATATATAAAAGAGAAGTGAGACAGAGAAAGATGAGAAAGAGAGGGGGAGAAAGAAAAAGAGAAATGAGAAATAAGAGAGAGGGAAAGAAATAGAGAGGAGAGAGAGGAGGAGAGAGAAAGAGAGAGGGAGAAAGAGATGAGACAGAAAGACAGAGAGAAAGAGAGATGAGAGAGAGAGAGAAAGGGAAAAAGGGAGAGAGAGGAGAGAGAGAAATAGAGAGGAGAGAGAGATGAAAGAAAAAGAGAGAGGAGAGAGACAGAGAGAGAGGAGAAAGAAAGAGGAGAAAGAAAGAGAGAGAGATAAGAGAGAAGGAGAAATAGAGGGAAAAAGATGAAAGAGAGGAAGGGAAAAAGAGAGGGAGAGACAGAGAGATGAGAGAAACAGAGACTGAGACAGACACAGTGAAACGCCTCTTCTAGTTGTAGGGGAGGAGAATCCAAAGCATGGGCTGTCTCCTGCTTCCTTGCTTAAAGACAGAGTCAATCAAAGTTTAGTCCAGCCCCCATGCCTAGTTTTTGATGAAGGCTGATGATTGACTTGGAGAGTTCTTTGGTGTTTGTTCTTGACCGTCCTGAGCTCGGGACTAACTATCTAAGGGTGGGATTTGGATTCTCCTCCCCTACAACTAGAAGATGCATTTCAGGTAAGCCCAACGCTCTTTCTCTTTCTCTTTCTCGTCTTTCTCTGTATCAGGGTCGGAGAATCCAAAGTGTGGGACATACCCAAGCTAATTGTCCTAAGGGTGGGCCAACTCCTTGTCCCGAGCCCCCATCTCCATGTGAACTCTTTGTAGCACTCTTCTTCCAAAGGATGCTTCCGC